AACGACTTCTGATCAAAATACCAAAGAAAGGCGATCTCAGCAAGTGTGATAACTACAGGGGCATCACTTTTCTCTCAATACCGGGAAAAGTCTTCAACAGGGAGTTGTTAAACAGAGCGACGAATTCCGTAGACGCTCAACTTCAAGACCAACAGACTGGATTCTGTAAGGATCAATCGTTTACTGACCAAATCGCAACTCTAGGGATCATTATGGAACAATCAACTTAATGAAATTCACCACTTCACATCAGCTTCATTGACGACGAGAAAGCATTTGATAGCATGGACAGGACAACACTAAGGAAGCTTCTTCGACACTGCGGCGTGCCTCAAAAGATAGTCAATATCATACAGAATTCCTGTGATAGATTAAACTTCAAGACTGTGCATGGAGGACAACTGACAGACTCGTTCGAGGTAAAGGCCGGTGTCAGGTAAGGTTGTTTACTCTCACCCTTTCTTTTTCTCCTGGTGATCGACTGGATCATGAAGATGTCAGCATCTGAAGGTAAGCACGGAATACAGTGAGCCCGCCCTTTTATATACGCGGACTATTTCCATAATCCTTAGGGAAGTTTTTCTATTAGAAAGTCTTGTTTTACTTATCCAGTCGTTGCATGCGTTTACGTTCTTAAAATAAGTAGATATGTACGCTTCCAAACCTATGGAAATTAACATGTTCTAATGCACATTCCTGCGTTTAAGATTTTTCTCGCACATTCCATTGTCATTTAACGGGCATTTATCTAGTTTACATGTTACTAAGATCGGTACTAACTCCACTTAACTGTCCGATTGAACGGTTCTTAAAAAATGGAAGCTTATCAAGACATTGAGATGAAGTCAGAAAGAAAGTAGCCGAATTATACTTACCACAAAGATATCGTTTCAAAAAGGGCAGTGATTTTTGTACCTGTTGTGATTATACTTGCTTTGGGTACTTATTGCACTAAAAAGCATTATTGGTCTACTTGATCTAAAAGTACTTTGGTTAAAGTTTGAAATTCTTTGATAAATTTTGTCCTGAGCACCTGTTTTTACTCCTTGACTAACACTTGTGTTCACATTGTGATAATTTTGTGTTTTTAAACCTTTTAAATCGAATTACAATGGTTGGTAAGACTCATAAATGTGGGCGACCAAATTGTTTGTTCCACGTTGAGGAGGGAATGCAGTGTGACGATTGTAAAAGGTGGTACCACAAGATGTGTACACGACTAAGTCCGACGGTTTACAAAAGATGCTCGAAACCTAACTCTCATTGGCTTTGTATGTTCTGATTTACGGATAAAAAGGTACTAATTCAGGAGGCTATGGGCCTATTGGCTTTGGCCTGCACGAAAAACGATGGCGGAAGCACTGACAACAAGAGCGCTGATGGTGAAGAATGTGTCAGTGTAGTAAGTACTGCTACTGGATCCGTTAAACACCTGACTGTGATTGACGAGAATGTGAAATCTCCGTTGACGTTAACGAGGAATGAAGTGTCACTTGATATTGACATCAGCAGTCATACACCTCTGGTCGAAATAGAAGATCCGGATAAAACTGTCACCGTTCCACATAGTCCAGGTGTGGCTCTCCTGAGTGCTGACAAATGGACTTCAGTAAGGAAAAAAAGAATTGGGAAGAAAAAGGCTGTGGGCAAAACGCAGCTGGTCAGCAAGGTGTTGAAAGGGATGTTATCAGAAGAAAAATCCTCACTGCGTGACAAGACAGATCTCTCTGAGAGATTAGTCATTTTTCATAAGATAAGAGAATCTTCAAATACAGAACGAAAGGCGAGATTTGAACACGATCTCAATCATATTAAGACATCATTAAGTAAACTACTCCCAGATAGAGTTTCAGGAGTCAGTATTTGTAAGCTTTATGGAATAGGAAAAAAGATGGATTCCGAAAGTCCTCAGAAAAACAGCCTCCTAAACGTTACATTCAACACGGTGGAAGAAAGGAACCTGATTCTAAGTAATTCACGTAAACTGATTGGATCCGGAATATATCTACGTGAGGATCTCAGCCTAGCTGATCGTATGAAGAGAAAAGCTGCAGAAGCGGAAATAAATGAGCGTCGCCAAAACGGCGAAAGAAACCTCGTTCTTAAGGGTTTTCAAATTGTAAACATTCGGAGCAAAATGATTCCCAAGCCATTCTGGGTGGCAAGGGAAAGCTCTCCACAGAATTAAAGGTATGCTGCACAAATGCTCGCAGCCTTCTAAATAAAATGGCGGAGCTCAAGTCAATGGTGGATAAAGAAACATCAGATGTTATTGCTGTCTCGGAAACTTGGTTAACGTCAGAAGTATTAGATAATGAAATTCAGTTGACTGGTTTTCTAACCAGTAGGGCTAGTAGGTTAAACCGTAGGGGACGCGGGGTTATCCTGTACACGAAAAGTACCCTAACCATAAGATTAGCTGAGACTGGCACATGTTTCAGGGACATATGAACTGGTGCGATGTAAGTTGAAATGCCGACGGCAAGATATTGAATTAGTTGTAGTATATCGCAGTCCAGAATGTGTAGCAGATGATTTTCTTCTAAGTAAACTTAAGTTCTGGTGTAACAAGGGTAAAAGCCTTTTAGTACTCGACTTTATTGCACCATATATAAACTGGGTTAACTTAGAATTAGGGTAATCGATAACGTCGCTCGACTGCAAACTGTTAGAAACCTCGATTGGACTAGCATTATTCCAACACATTGGAGATCCCACAAGATACGACTTAAGAAACTCTTCTTCTCTTTTAGATTTAGTCTTCATATACGGTGATAACGTTGGTCAAATGGCTTTTCTCCCACCACTTGGGAGAAGTGACCATGCAGCCATCTTATTCAAATTCCTGGCTGAGATTGCCTGTCAAACAGTTGCACCGGCCCGTCCTAACATATGGAAGGCAGATATGCAGGCAATTAATTCCACAGCATCGGCTGAGAACTGGGAAATTGACTCAAAGGCATCAGTACAAGAGGCATGGACTCTATTCAGACAGTTATACAATCGGGTAACTCAACCATATATACCCTGGACTGTCCCAAAGAAAAAGAAGCACGGACATCCCTGGTTAGGGCGGGATATTCGACGCTTACTAAGACAAAAGAAGAAATGCTGGGATGTTGCCATCCGCCTCGGCACAGCAAGTACGATGGAACGCTACAGATCGATAAGAAAGGAGTGTATAACAAAAATTCGGGAAGCTCAAAGAAAATATGAAATGCAGCTGGCACAATCTGCACTTAAGCAGCCCAAGAGAATATTCTCGTACATAAACCTAATTAAATTAGGAAGTGAATCTGAAATGATAGAGGAAGATCAGGAAAAAGCAGAGGTTATGGCTGACTATTTTAGGACAGTTTTCACTCAGGAACCTCCTCTAGAGAAAGAACCAGACCCAAATACAGAGTCAACAAACCAGATGCGCACCGTGGAATTCGACCAAAACGATGTCCTCAAGACTCTTAGCACCCTAAGGATGGAGAAGTCAACAGGACCAGATGAACTACACCCCGAAATCTCGAGACATACTGCCCAATATATCGCGGCCCCACTGGATGTGATATTCAATATGTCACTTGACCAAGGTGTGTTACCTATGGACTGGAAGGACGCAAACCTCACTCCCACACATAAAACAGATCCACGACAAGTTCCATGGAATTACAGACCCGTAAGTCTCACCAGTGTTGTAATTAAAATACTAGAAAGAATAATCAAACGGACCATAACGGCATTCATGGAAACCAATAACTTGCTGAAGATGGCACAACATGGTTTTAGAAAGGGTCTGTCCTGTACAACGAACCTCCTTGTAGCTAGCGAGTTCTGGATTAATGCGCTAGACAACGGAAACTCAGTGGATGTTGTCTACATAGACTTCAGTAAGGCATTTGACAAGGTGTCAACTAATAGACTGCTATTGAAGTTAAAATACCTTGGTATTGCCGGACCTCTTTTAAAATGTATTAAAGATTTCCTAGTAGATCATAGACCAAAAGTAAGAATAAATTCCATGTGCTCCATCTGGAGACCAGTACTTAGTGGAGTACCACAAGGTTCCATCCTAGGTCCTTTACTTTTTATAATGTACGTTAATGATCTTACAAGTGTAGTACAGTCTCCAATGTTATTATACGCTGATGATGTAAAAATTTGGCGAGTAGTAACTGGAGACAAAGACGCATTTACTCTTCAGGCAGACTTAAATAATATGATAAACTGGTCTAAAGAGTGGCTGATGCCTATCAACTCGGAAAAGTGTGTTTACATGCACTTGGGGGATTCAATGGTTAGTACGTACAACATAGGAGATGTGTCATTACTAGTAGTCCGGTCTCATAAGGATCTAGGAGTGACAGTGAGTAATGATCTTAAGACGACGGCCCATTGCCGGGCGGTTGCAGCCAAGGGGTTTTGAACCCTCTGGGCTTTAAAAAGGAGATTCACTAAGTTAGATACTACTATGTTCACCACAGTATACACATCCTTAGTGAGAACTGAGCTAGAGCACTGCGTTCAGGCTGCAAGCCCCTGCTTGAAAGGTGACTTGGACATACTAGAAAAAGTATAGAGAGCAGCTACCCGTGCAATTCCGGAACTCCGGGGTTTTTCATACAAAGAGCGGTTTGAAAAATTGGACCTCCTTACTCTGTCCTATCGCAGACTAAGGGGAGATCTAATTTTGATGTACAGAATACTGAGAAATGATTTCGGACCTAAATTATTCTCTCTCTTTCTTCCCACTAGATCGGGACATCTCAGAGGACATAGCAGGCGAGTAGAAAAGCCAAGAACGAACAAAATACCCGTGGCATACAGGATTTCTCACCGAGTCATCAATACTTGGAACCTGATGCCTGAAGCAGTGGTGTCCGCACCTTCAATTGACGCTTTCAAGAGAAAACTGGACACTCACAGAAGCATACTAGAAAAGGAATAAAATAGGCCGTAGGCCTTCTGTCCTTACTACACAAATCTGAATCTGAAATCTATTGGATTTTAAATGACTGGGAATTTCAACTCAAGGTCAGCCTTCTGATCACCTGTTCGTGTTTATGGATGTAGTCCGTCCTAGTCCACACAGAATCACAAGAAAAAGTTTACTTCAAGTGGCTGAGTAATGAATTACACATTTTTTAGTAGATTTTTCTGTATAGATTAGTAATAAAGTCGCAAATCGAGTCTTCCGTCCATCGAATACCAGATGAAAGTTTCCCGGATGTTCAGAATTTTCTTGCAGTTTTAGAAAATTTATTCTACCATGGTTTAAAATGTAGGTTTTTGGATTTCGTAATGCTCAGCTTACAATTTTCTGGTTGGGAAGAAAGTCTCAAAGCACCCTTGGTGTCTCATACTTCAATTATCTAATTTACCCAGTTTTTCACATACGTCTTCAGTGAAACTTCTTGATCATCTCAAGAGTGATTTTTCAAAGGTATCAGCTTCTTTAATCTTGCAACGTTCCAGCTTCGAGCTTGGATCAAACTGTCTATTGTTAGGTGTTGTCTGCACTCTGCAATGCTAGATTTAGTTCAACTGAAGCCCAATTTGACGTAAGTCGTGTCATGTAAATTAACAGATGTATATTTTGCATTAAAATTTTGTTCACAATGAAAGCTATGTCGAGTTGAATAATTGGCAAATACTTTTTGCTATTCTCAAAACTCTCTACCTATTTTGTAAATCTGAATATCTAGAAACCTGATAAAGTACATAGCTTCCCCTCGCCTGATTCAAATATGTATTCGCATGAAGAACCGAATTTCTGCCGAATAATTTCATCCTGAGAGTGTCTTGAAGGCTTCATTGTGTCACTTCAAGTCAATGGTGGATAAAGAAACATCAGATGTTATTGCTGTCTCGGAAACTTGGTTAACGTCAGAAGTATTAGATAATGAAATTCAGTTGACTGGTTTTCTAACCAGTAGGGCTAGTAGGTTAAACCGTAGGGGACACGGGGTTATCCTGTACACGAAAAGTACCCTAACCATAAGATTAGCTGAGACTGGCACATGTTTCAGGGACATATGAACTGGTGCGATGTAAGTTGAAATGCCGACGGCAAGATATTGAATTAGTTGTAGTATATCGCAGTCCAGAATGTGTAGCAGATGATTTTCTTCTAAGTAAACTTAAGTTCTGGTGTAACAAGGGTAAAAGCCTTTTAGTACTCGACTTTATTGCACCATATATAAACTGGGTTAACTTAGAATTAGGGTAATCGATAACGTCGCTCGACTGCAAACTGTTAGAAACCTCGATTGGATTAGCTTTATTCCAGAATCTGTCTGGCATTGTCTGCCATTTCAGAAAATATGTTACGTATGAAACAATAGTGCCAATTAGTATACAAAGGAAGGTAAATGGTAAGTTTTTTCTATTGCAGTCCATTCTGAATCTTTAGACACTTAATACATACTTGTAATTCAATTCGATGCATTACACAGTACTGCTTGTCATAGTGTGGTATCCTTTTCGTCGTGCTTAGGGGTACCTGACTCATTTACTAAGTTTCAGGTTCAAACCATTGTTCATTTGGTTTTACTTCAGTAACACAATAACTTTGGTTCACAATCAAGCAAACTAAGTTGCTCTATTACTATTTTTTCCCCCGTTGTGTAAATGATTTTCTACTTTCTATGGCTACTACTAGTTCTGTGAAAAAAATTCACGACAATTTTTATCATTTTGTTGTGTTACTTTTAGTATTACTATCTTTATCCTCTTGAAATTACTTTTCTAGGAAATATTATTCCCGGGATGCTATCTTCCGTTCGGAAGAAATATTTAATCTAATTGCTTCTCTCGTAGGATTGGAAAATGTACAGTTTAAGTAAGAATTCAAACTTGGCTTATCATAGTGAACTAGTTTGGACTTTAAAACTGAACTCGTGGAATATTCCTATTGTGTTCCTCCAATTGATTTCTCGCCTTTTCTTTTGTTCAAGCAGAGGTATGTTTTAAATTTAGATGACTTAAATATAATCCAAAGTTACTCTACGATTAAGAATTTATTCATTACTTTTTTCAGTTTAGAAACAAAACTTAGTGCAATTTGTGAGTGTCGAAACGAGAATACTGAGGATAGAAAATCGAGATGTATGTGGCGCTATGGATTTGAGAAATTAAAACAAAATCAAGTTTATTCCTTAGAACAACTGGTAAGACCGCTTTTTCCATTTTTAAAAACATAGTTTCACTTTAATGAATACTGGTATATCGACCTCGAAGTGAATAAAAGTGTAATCGGTTGATTTTATGCGAAATCAAAGCCAAGGTAAACGTTACACTTAATACTTAAAAAGCTTTTGGAATCGTTACAAGTTCCTTAGAAATACTACGGAACTAATCTTTTCTTTTTACAACTCCCACATATTTTTATTGCTTAAGTGTGAGTTGTAGACTTCTACTTTTTACCATTCTTTGACTAGTTTTCGTGAAATAATATGATAGTAAACAGCATATTTTTTTCAGCTAGGAGCATAGTTTTGTCAAGTATCCTCAATAGTTAAATTAACCACTACTATAAGTCAAAACTTATCAGTACGATCAGTAACTATTAAATTCCATCCAGTTCATTGTCTTGGTTTTTAATTTAAAAGTACTAAAATTACACCCGACCGTTGTTGCTACCTTGACTTGGTGGTCGGGCTTGCCTATCGTGATGAAGCAACCGAGCTATACTGGCTGGAACAACCGTTCCTCAAGGTCCTACCATGTTAGACAGGTCGGTTGAAGAGCGGTAAGACTAAAAACAACAAACCCAAGGTCCGAAGGCGAAGTCGTACTGCTGACTGTACAGAGGTGTGACAGCAGTAAGGTGTTTCCTTCAGACAACCAGCATGACAGCGGTGCTGCCTTCCCACAAGGAGGGGTGGGGTTAGAAAAGGTCGACCCTAAAAATGCGCACCTCGCCTTATCCCACGGATATCCGTCTCCGGCGGTAAGGTCTCAATAAGTACGGAGCTAACACAGAAATTACCCATAAAAAGGTCGTGTGTGACCGACCTCAAGCAGTTGTCCCTTGGGCACTGCGGTCACGCTCTCAGGTCACTAAGACCTTTAATCCAATTTCCTTTTCAGGTACCTCCAGGACAACCCTTCCACGGTGTGGGCAATCGGGAAGTGATAACCGCCCTCATACCTCTAACAGCACCCAAGATCACTGTATTCATAATCAACCTTCCTCTTCAATTCCTATTATTCCTCCTACATCGAATTTCAACTTTAAATTTCCTCTCTCGGCTTCCACCTCAAGTGTCACCATAGCCAACGATTCTAGTGCGCAAAACACTGTCCCAGGTCTACTGAAACCTCACTCCAAACTACACATTGGAGCCTTCAACGTACGAACCCTATGTCAAATCGGTCAGCAGGCTTCCTTGGCTGAAACCCTAGAGTCTCTTACCATTGACGTGTGCTGTGTCTCCGAAACACGCATACAGGATTCCAGTGTGGTTATTCACTTGACCTCACCTCGGCAAAACGGAGAGCCAACGAGATACACCCTTCGTGTATCTCGTGACCCGATGGCAAGTTCTCGTGGACTGGCAGGAGTAGGGATACCACTAAGCATGAGGGCGGAACAAGCACTGTTAGAGTGGATCCCCGTCAACAGTCGTCTTTGTGCTGTTCGGCTAAACGTTTCCGTAAGAACTCGGAAGGATAGGGATACACGTCATTGCCTTTTCGTCGTTTCTGCCTACGCTCCCACTGACTGCAGCTCAGATGAAGTGAAAGATGAATTTTACAGAAAGCTGTCCGAACTTCTTCAGAAAGCTAAACGCTCAGACATAGTACTCGTAGCAGGTGATTTTAATGCTCAGATAGGCAGTTTAAACCAAACAGAAAGGCATTTAGGTGGATATTTTATTATTCCGACACAGCGAACAGATAATGGTGATCGTCTGCTGCAACTATGCTCAGACAATCGTTTATTTTTAGCAAATACAAATTTTAAGCATAAGAAGAAACATCGTCTAACATGGCGACCCCCTACACCAAACCAACGATGGACTCAAATATACCATATTGCCATCAGTCATCGTTGGAGAGGGTCGGTAGAAGACTGCCGCTCGTTCTGGAATACCTATTTGGACTCCGACTACGCCCTAATACGGGTACGCATCTGCTTGCGCCTCACTGGACGCAAAAAAGCTACATTAAAAAGACCCGTTAGAACTGAGTTGAATAACGAGAAAACCAAAAGTAGGTTCCAGGAGCAACTGAGTTCACACTTAGGTAGTTGTGAAGACGAGGCTGACCCAGATGTTGCTTGGAAGGGCATACAATCAGCTGTGGAAACAGTAGTGACATCTATTAGTGACTTAAACCACAGAGTTGCAAGGAACCAGTGGATTTCTTCAAGGTCTGTCACACTGATGGATTCTCGCAAACTCGTCCCATCAGGTTCTGAACATGATGAAGAGCGACAACAAATCAGATCTAGGCTAAGAAAAAGTCTAAGAAACGACCGTGAGCAGTGGTGGGTAACGAAAGCAAAAGAGATGGAAAAGGTGGCGACTATAGGGAACACAAGACAGCTTTACAGACTAATAAAAGAAAATGGAATTAATAAGTCAAGTGTAAGTAAGATTATTTCGGAAAAAGATGATACTCTCATCTGCTCCCAGTCCAGACGTTTAGAACGATGGGCGGAACATTTTAGAGAACAGTTCAACTGGCCTTCAGCTTCTCTACAACTACCCTTCATTCCCAGACAGCGTGAATGGAACATTGAAGTAGGTCCCCCAACTCTTACTGAAGTTCAGAAGGCTATAGTTAATCTGAAACGAGGAAGGGCAGCTGGTCCAGATGGACTGGCTCCAGAGGTCTTTAAGGATGGTGGTCCAATTTTAGCGATTAGGTTGACTAATATTTTAGCTAAGATCTGGGAATTAGACTTTATCCTATCTGACTGGTCGCAATCACTTATCGTCCCAATATATAAGAAAGGGTCGAAATCATCCTGTGACAACCACAGAGGGATTAGTTTAACAAACATTGTATCTAAAATACTGGCCTCGATAATTATCAAACGCCTAACTAAGACTCGTGAACTACAAACACGAGAGAACCAATCTGGCTTCAGACCTGGTCGTGGCTGCATCGACCACATATTCACCATTCGTCAGATTCTAGAACACAGGCATACCTATCGGCGTCCGACGATGGTGGTCTTTCTTGACTTAAAAGCAGCATTTGACTCTGGAGACCGCGAGATTCTGTGTCAGTGTCTGTCATTGAAAGGCGTACCCCAGAAGTACATAAACCTTGTGAAGGCTCTTTACTCGAACACTACTAGTCGAGTCAGAGCTTATGGCGAACTGTCATCTACTTTTGCAACCTCAAGTGGTGTCCGTCAAGGCTGCCCACTTTCTCCATTTTTGTTTAACTTCATCATAGACCTATTGATGGAAATAACACTCTCGTCGACTGAGTTCTCGGGTATTGATCTCCATCCAGGAGGTCCAATTATCGACTTAGAATACGCAGATGACATAGTCCTGTTTGGTGAAGACGCCGACAAAATGCAGAATCTTCTGGTAGCACTAAGCAACAATGCCAGAATGTTTGGGATGCGTTTCTCTCCCTCTAAATGCAAGTTGTTGCTTCAGGACTGGTCTGCGTCAACACCTGAACTAAGGATAGGTAGTGAAGTGGTCGAACGCGTTGACAACTTCACTTATCTTGGAAGTCTGATCAGCCCTAATGGGTTGGTGTCTGACGAAATCTCAGCACGGATTCGAAAAGCTCGTTTGGCTTTTGCTAACTTACGTCACCTTTGGCGGAGGCGAGATATCCGTCTATCAATAAAAGGACGAGTATACTGCGCGGCAGTTCGTTCTGTTTTAATTTACGGCTGCGAAACATGGCCCTTAAGAGTAGAAGACACCCGTAAGCTATTAGTATTTGACCACAGATGCCTTAGAAATATTGCTGGCATCTGCTGGGATCACCGGGTAAGTAATAGTGAGGTTAGACGCAGGGTATTAGGGAATGATGGTAAATCAGTTGATGAGGTTATTAATCTTCATCAACTGAGATGGTTGGGCCACGTATTACGTATGCCTGAACACCGATTACCACGACGTGCAGTGCTAACCGGTGTAGGGGATGGTTGGAAGAAAGTTAGGGGTGGCCAAACCAAAATGCGGTATCGGTGCCTGAAGTCACTAACTTCTAGTCTGAGCCATGTTGGTAGATGCAGACTACTTGGTTGGGGTCCGCGTGACTTTCGTAACCAATGGTTGGAGACTCTTGGTGACATGGCTCAGAATCGATCACAATGGCGTCTGTGCATACACTCCCTGTCTTCCCTTAAACTAATAGATTAAAATCACTTCATATCTTTCTTTCTACGAACTAATTCTTTCTTCCTATACTAGATCCTTATACGCAGTCTTTCTCCTATATATTACCACCTTTGACTTAACCACTCCTATGAATCCGGTGTTCATCTTGCTGTGCTAATGAGGTATGGCAACCTGGACCGATGCATATATGTGCCTGGTCCTACGTTGTAGCTGACTGACTGACTGACTAAAATTACAATTTGGATGGACATTCGTTTTCTGGGCTGTGTGGTTTCCTAATCGTGAAGCTTTGGTCGTTGACAGATTTACGATTAAACCAATCAGCTTAGAACGAAATTCTACAGAAATTATTCGCCTAATCTAAAAGTCTTCTACAACAGCTCAAACCAGGCGTATATTGTCACTGCTAGGGAAAACCTGCCGATTGGCTTCTCGCGGCGGGGCTATTAATTACGAAATTGAGTAGACGGAAAGAGAATGTCCGACGCTCTAACCGGGTTAGTGGTTAACGAGGATTCACGTAGGATAGTTGGAAATCACTGAATCCAAACCTGTGATCCACATAGACCTCAGGATCGTGATGGAACAAATGGTATACGAACCTATTGTTAGTCCTCGGCTACCATGGACTGAATCTCTTAACGTTGCTCCACTGCCTTGCGGATTGAACCCCTAGGTCGAAAGCTAGGGAAGTGGCCCTCTAGAAAGACCATCTGTGTTCGGTTTGGGCATCTGGACGGCTTCTCACCTCATGCTTTAATTGAATAATAACTAATTTCTATCGCGCACATATATTTTGGTGCCCCTTTGTACCAATGTTAGTCTATTTACATAAATAAAAAATGATCAAAAGGAGAAAACTAGTTGACATATAAGACTTATTTTCAAAGTTTGCGTGCAAAGTCACTTTCGAATTTTCAAACCTAGGAAATATCAATTAATACATTTAACAAGACCCACTGTTTTTAATAGTTTTTTTTACTCAAACTGTAGGTTATAATTTTGTTAAATAACTTTAACTTCCCATGCATAATTGTTTTACTAATTTTAGAAGCTTAATTAAAGTAAATTGGTTAATCTTATTCTATGTTTGCCCGTACTTTTAAATGACATTAGTTTAATACACTCTGATAAAGTCATTTTCTTAGTGAAAGTGTTAGAAATTTGTTTTAAGTGAATATTTATAATTTAAACCATGTACTTTAAAATGCACATTAGTAGTTTTATATTAAAACTCGCCATAAACTAAACATAAGTATAGGTGTTGTAATAAATCATAACTTTTATTTTGTTTTCTTTGACCCAATAAACTAAATGCTGACAGCGAATTGTGGAGCAGCAGCTTGCTGCCTAAAGTATCGGGCTTTAAACCAATAGGTTTCAGTTATGCATCTCCTACTTCACTTTAAACAAATCTTATGCCCAACGTCTGGTTCAGATCAAAGCGTGAGAATTCATACCTAATGAATGAGTTGTGTTATTGTCATATCTTACTATGTCAAATAAAATTTTTGATGCGTGTCCAGTCTATGTAAGAGTGAAAACAGACACCTTTTGATACGGTTCATGTAAGACACTTTTATATTGTAGAATTATTCCATTTCTTGTTCACAGTTTATATTTGTATCAGTCTACTTCTGGTTATTGGTATCTGATTTTTTTGGATTAAGTTATTCGGCTTTAGTGTTGGTGTTTACCCTGAGACTTTTGTTTCAAAGGTTTTATCCAGCTTGTAATACTCTACAATATTGCCATATATTTCAAATTTGTACTGTTCTCTAGTTGACTTGATTTATTTTTCCGTCTTTGTGTATGTGTGCAATTAATAATTTGACATTCAGGTTAGTTTAGGGTTTACGAAACGGACGGTTTTTGTAGATCATATCATTAATTGACTTTACCTAGAGGTCACTGAACACAGATTTCATTCTGACATGGGACTCTTGAGTAATATGAACCCATGCCCTTGCCTTTAAACCATTGAGTTTTGGACCCAATAATGGTTCACATTTCCAAGTTATAAAACTAAAAACGTTTGTCTTAGTCAAAACGTGTGTTTTACATGTATAACTTATTGTCTAATTTAAAATGAACAGTGTCTTATTTTCGATAGGCAAGTGTGTGATGAAAATTCTTTTAATCATCATAAGCCATATGGTCAGTAGATGAGTACACGATCATCTACAGTTATATATATTTCATATTCACTGGATTATGGGGTTACTAATATTACCTTTTTGGACATATTTTTTTTTATAAATACGTTTGCGTTAGAAATTTTAACACATCAATTGAGATTTAAGTTCTTTAACTTCTGCGTAACCACCTATTTTGTGGCTTAAAAATATAAGGTCTTTAGTTATCTTAAGAATTCTCGTCTTTTGTTAGCAAATTTTAATTCTGTCAATTAATAACTATTTTAAACGGTTCAGTAGATTGGCAAATAATGTGTCTGAGATAAATAAAACTACTATTTTTATCGCATTGAGGTAGATATCTATGATGGTGGCACTTAATAATGATAGTGCAGTTAAAAATGTAATCGACTATTTGGAATCCGACTCAGTGATTCAAAGGTGCTGGGTTAAATGTCGTATAGAGTCATAGGTACATATTTTCAATGAGTCCTTTACTCTATGCTGAAGCATGTAACCAGCTCTCAATGGTTTTCAGTATTTCTGTAGCTCATATCACTGTGTAGAGGAAGCTAACCCCAAGACTGTATAACTTATTAGATAACAAATTACTTATTCTAAATAAAAATAGAAATCCCCAAACTTCACTTCTGCCCGTTGCATCAATCACGACCTTCTTTTTTTCAGCATTATCATGAAGAATTGATTCAAAAACAGTTTACCCAGTTAAATAAATATAAAGAACAATTAAACTGTTATAAAGAGACGACTGCGAGTCTGGAAAGTTACATTTTGGAATTACAAGTTAAGTTGTACGTTTGATTTTTCAGTTGATTTTTAGATTTTCTGTTTTGTTTCATTCATAGGAGTCCTTGAATCACCTACTATTCAACTGTCACACTCAGATATTAGTCTCTTCAGTTAGTCAGTTAGCTAGTCATAGTCATCAATCTAGCTGTCATACAATAAATACCATTTTAAAGTATAGATCATATATGAATGCTGACATGTTTATTGAGTTTCACTATTCAATAATTGATAACTTATACTCATTTACTTACAGATACTTCATGAGTAATAATTTTTAGTATTTACGGATAATGATAATAATAATAAAGTTTAATCAGGACCAAATTTTAAACTGATGACTTCCGTAAAATTTATTATGGCTACAGATAAACTTTTCAAATATACTATGGAACCACAGAGTTTGAGTATACCAACTATAGTCAAACTAAGTACAACTTAGTATTTGATATTTAATTCATTTTGAAGATCTAAATTAATATTATTAGTACAGAATCTTAAAGGAAATATTGTCATGCAGAAAAAGTGAGGGTAAAAACACATGGAAACTTAATAGAAATAGATAATGAATTCGAATGGATAATTATAAAAGATAGTTATTACTTTTAAAAAAACTACAATTCCCATTTTTCGATAGTCAAATAAAGATAGATTACCATACTAAGGTCAAACTGTGTGAATGAATTTTCAATATTTGGAATAATTTTTTAACGTTTACCGAAGGTCTTGGGTTCGAATCCTGCGTACGGGATCGTGAATGCTCACTGCTGATTAGCCCCATACAAGGACAAAACGGCCGTCCGGTGCTTTCAGGTTTTCAATGCTGGTCTGACATTGATTATTCATGATCTCAATCAAATATCTCTATCTGTCTAAATATTATAGCTTGTTTTATCCTGAATTACACATTTTATTCTATAAATGAATTAAGTTAAAAATCTTTAAGTTGCCACCATTTCATAGATATACTGTTTATATGGATTATTCGATAAATGCATGAAATGAGATAAAAAACAACCTGATTTTATAAATTTCTACGTAGACAAAATGAACATCAATCTTATCTTCCTAAAGGTGCTCTCCGTTTGTAAAACCTCAATTGTTTTGTCTTCATTCTCATTTTTTAAAGCAATCCTGGAATTTCTTAAAATTCGAGCTCTTCAAATGCCTCGTTACACACAGTTTTATCAATTCTAAATGTTTCATTCGAGTAATGTTTACTAAAAGTTTATATAAACTTAATTCACGCGAATAGTGAATCAGAAATCACAAGAGATTGCACATATTCTATTTTTCCATCAACATCGTGGTTCTGAACCTTTCTCGAAGTCATAACCGTCCGCAGTGGAAGTTAAACCACTAGAACAAAGCTATTTTCTTTGTGTTTTCCCGATAAATACCACTTAACATTCTCTGGTAGTCTCTAATTTTCACGGAAATTAGATATTGAGTCGTTGTTCTACGTGTTCTTCAAACTCGATTGTTGATGGGACTCAGAAGCATCAGTTCAAGGCCACCTTTGTAGAATCATTAAGACTCTTTTATGCACCACTTGTTCTCAAAATATAATTTGATATAATTGTGCAGATAGGAAAAATAAATATACTCAGCTCGTGTTCTGAACTTATCAAATAGATCATGTATGAGACTACTTTTATTAATTTTTTCATGTTAGCCGGTGATATGGTGTTATTATTATTATTATTATTATTATTATTATTGTGATTTTTTTCAAAGGACACTTATTCATGAACAATATGACCAAGAGTTAAAACGTTTAGGTGTTAATCAGTCAAGATTAACGGCTCCAACATTTCGTAATATTCCAAATCGATTTCAACAAATACATGATATCAATGAAAAACCTTCAAAAATCTCATCATTTCTAAATTCGTCAATAAAGCTCATTCATAATGAAACTTGCGCTGGTGCTAGTACCAGCTATCAAATGCCATCAATCTTATCAGTAGATCAAGGTATTGATGCATTAAGCTTGGAAGATTCTTCAAATCCTGAAATAGATAGCAATAATAATCACTCAACATCATCACTTGTCGAACATATTCCCAGTGAATCGAAAAGATATCGTTCAGTTAAATTTACCGAATCTAATTCACATATGAAAAAAATCGATCAAGATTCATGTGTTTTGCCTATGGATGTATCAAATAGAAAGTCGAATTCGAAACGTCTTCCTTTACCCATAAGAGCACGTTCTAATTCTCCAACTAATACTACTACTAATAGTAGTAGTTATCCTAGTTCAATAAGTGAATCATCTCAGCAAAAATATAATAAATCAAAGAGTCCATTAAAATCAAAAACTTCTGATCAAACTTTTCATCAAAAATCAAAAGTAAGTCAAACTACTTATAAATTTTTGTCCGTCTCATTTTTATGCTGGATTTAAATTATCACTAACACTTTACAATCCTGACTATAACTGCTACCTTGACGTGGTGGTCAGAATAGCATGTCGCGATAACCCACTTGAGTTATATAGGCTGGAATATTTGTTCTTCTATCCCAGGCGCATCAGATAACGAGCACCAAGATTCAGAGCAGCGAACTCATGATCCAAGTGTGAACTTGTCTCACTGATTGTGCTGAGGTTTCCTCTCAAAAATTAGCACCTGCAGCGATTCTGGCTTCCCACAACAGAAAAAAGGGTTAGAATAGATAGACATCGCAACTTACCCTATGGAGTCTCGGCCCCTGCGGTAAGCCCTAAAAAATGCTGAATGGACATCAAAAACCACTTGGATAAAACTGCGTTTTGCTGGCCTTGAGCATTTATCGCCTTAGCTCTGCTATCACGTCCTCAGGTCACCAAGATCACTCCTAACCCAGTTGACTTTTCAGTTACCTTATGAAGAGATATCCTTCCATGATCTGAACAACTGGGAAGTAAAAACTGCCCTTATACCTGTAACAACATACTGGATCGCCTCGGTTTTCTTCAGCTGTTTTGCACATATATATTATTTGTAAGAATGCTCATATCATTCACTGTGTAGTGAGGTTACTATAGTACTTGGAAACATGAGGACTTTGGCTTAATTGTGATGTGCGGTGTCTGAGCGTGGTTACTTAGGAGAAAAGACGAAGAAATATATATATATATATATATATATATATATAATATCAAAGCTGTTATTCCACTGTCATTTTACTATATTTTATTGTTAAATGTTTTTTTATAACTAAACACTAATTTCTAATCGGCTAATAAATCGCTCAAAGTCATCAGTATGATATGCCTTTGCCATATTTACTGGTGTCGTCGTATCATTTGGTTTCATTGACCAATTTGAACTCCTCATTCAATATGATTCAATTAATTCATTGCTAATAATTAGTAGTGTTTTACCTGAATCAATATCTGGTTGTTTGTATATACTAAATATCTTTTCTTGGTGAGGAGGGAGGAGTAAAATTCTTCTGAGTTACTTACAGAACTGATTTTTTATTTACGTAGAATTATGTGAGCATAACGACAAGTTTAGATGGTGGTTGGAGGTAGTCAACAGGAAACCCTTGACCCGGGTTTCGTTCTACTTGGCACTCGTCAGCAAGGTGTATTTGTAATCTTGAGGGAACTGGTGCTCCCTGGCGGATTCGATCTCGTGTCACCCAGCTTCACAGTCAGAGACGTTACCACTGAGCTATCCGAGCCGTGACTAACCTACTGTAGGACTGAGATGTAATCACAATTGATTGATTACAAGTACACCTTGCTGACAAGTGCCAAGTAGCACGAAACCCAGGTCCAGGGTTTCCTGTTGACTACCTCCAACCACCATCTAATCTCAATACATAGTGCCCGCAGTGTCGAGTCACCTAGACTGGTGGCCACATTGCAACATGATCGATAGCATTCGATCTGCACTAATAAGGACTAGACAAGCATGAGATTGATCACCACCCAGTGATCAATCAAGTGTGATAACGACAAGTGCATAATCATGTCATATTTCAGAACCCGTATACAATATGTTGTTCGATATGCCTAAAGGGCAAACCTGGCTTAACTATTGCAATCACAATAATTACACATACATAGTTGTATAAAGTTTATTTTTTATACATGGTTTGTATTGACCTTATTTTCATTTGTATCAATTTACTTAGTTGATCCACTCTTTTTTGAACCATATACTCTATATTTAGTCCTTTTTTAGTATCTTTAATAACACTATTAATTCATATCGTTTGGGATTCATTTTATTATACTAGTAATGTCCTATAAGAATGTAAGCTAAGGAACCTTTTTCCGCAGGTAGTCCTATACTGTTTATGCCTAACATACAGATTGGCTAACTATTAATGTTAAGACGATTAAAGGCAACTAACTGAAAACTATGAATGATACAAACTCCCGTCAATCAGTTATATTATTCCTTTGTTTAATATCCATTAAACTCTTTGGTCCACTTGATACTTGTCAAATCAGAACAGGAGTTAAAAGTGAACAATATATATTTTTCAATAATCTAAAAAGCAAAGATAATGTTGTGTAAACAGAGTTAATACAGAATCTAGCATTTCTTCTATTCGTCCACTAACATGTAGTTGATCAAAAATGAACTAATCAGTGTATTCTTACAGGGCCTTCTTACAGGATCATACGATAATTGGGGCTCTATCCTGATAACTAGACGGAGAAGACTTGACTCAACTAAGGGAAAAGTATATTCGGCAAGCAGTCGGAAGCACGAACGAACAAGCACACAACTCATACGTATGTATATACAGTACAAAAATGTTATTGGAAAACGTCACATAATAGCGTACTAAATGAGTAAACGAACCAATGACATTTATGGTCCTCCCAAGTGAGAAATACAAACTGAAGGTAAAAGTAGGCGCTTTTGTTGCGAAAACGAGAAATTCTAATTTCCAAAACAAAATTACGAAAATAAGATGTTTAAATAAAGCCAGAACAAATATTGCATGAAACAAGACGTTTACCAAATGATTTCTGGGGATCTAATATGCCCAACAGTTATGGCTGGAAGTATATAATTCTACCACTAAATAGAGCGCTGCTCTGCGTCTATGCTTGTTTTTTCTTTCTTATTTATCACAAATTTTCTGTATGTTTATGGTCCATGGCTGTGAGTCTGATAACGTGGTTAATATATTTACACTGAATGATTCATCTGCACGGACAAAATTCTCACTTGTTTCTTTAACAAATAATCAGAATATTCAGGACTTTGCACTATTTTGTACTATTGTGACTTGAACACTCACGTGATTGTATTCACGAGAAACATAAGACTATGATTCAACCACAAGTGATAAGCCTCAGTGTAGGTACATAACGAGAGATATTTATGGTACAAATCTGAATAATTTGTCTGTGAATAATTCGTGATAATTTATGGACGGTAAAATATGTTACATCTGTAAACAAGTCAAATGGCTACATGTAATTAGAATAATATGGAAATCTCACAGACTAAATTTATCATGAAAATACTTGCTCAAAATATAAATATCAATCCTTCATAGTATGGCTCCAGTCGGTTTACTAAATAAAACGTCATTGATGTTGAACCTGATGTGTTCTTTTTTCTTCAGATGCTTGTTAGTGTTCAAGAAATACCATCTGAACGTTTCATCCTGCCGGATAATTCATATTCTACTGTATCTTTTTCTAATAATAGTTCACCAAAAACTCTCGAGAGTATGACAGTTGTTGTAAAACCAAGAAGTCATAGCTTATTCTCTTGTTAGTAAGTTATATCATTTCACTAATCTTTTGTTTCATAATATATTCTTTTGTAAAGCGATATATTTTGTATTCAAACGCTTAAATACTGACTTTCTAACCTCTTTCTAGTCTTCATAAGTCTCTTGCTCGTGAGCATTTACTTCCAAGACCAGTTCATGTTAAAAAAAACAAGGTTAATCACATTATTACACGTGAAGTTGAGCTTTTAGAAGCTTCTGTAACACATGCTAAGATCGATACACAAATTCATATTTGTGTCGAGTCAAATACTGGCATCACGATCTGTGGTTTTCTCGAGTTCTCTTGAGGGTTTCTGAAGGACGCTGTAGTGAACAAGAACACGGGTGGGAACAATCGATTGTATTTAGCACAAAAATGTGAATACCATAAAGTCAATCGTCAATTTGCAAAATATCATTCCATCATCTCAAACTGTACTGTTCCCGTTGCAAACAGTAATCCATTGTCTCCCATTCCATTGTACATGCGTTTTCTTACAATTCCATTGTGCTCTTGCTCTTCCTTTCTTGATCTTCGCCATCTTCTGCTACCGGACATTACGTTCTTTTAACGCACGTTATATACTACTTATATAAGTAGCTCACACCACAACGCTGTTTGGCTGAATTGTCTTTGTCATTTATGTTATAACATATGACTTTTTTGTCGGTTATACTTGTCTACTATTTTATTTATTTATTTAAACACATAAACATTGGTACAAGGAGGCACCAAATATATATGCGCCACACATCGTCATTGGATTTGTGCGTGGGCTGGAATACTACCCGTTCACCCGAACTGAACACAGGTGATTTTCTTAGAGGGCTACCCTCCGATCATTGAGTCTAGAGGTCTAATCCACATGGCAGTGGAGCAACGTTAAGAGATGCAGTCCCATGATATCCGATGACCAACAATAGTTCCGTACGTCTTTTGCTCCCTGAGGATCCTGGAACCCATGTGCACTATTAGTTTGCAACCAGGGTTTTCCAGCTATCTCACGTGAACCCTCCACATTCACCAAACTGGTTAAGGCGCAAGATATTCGCTTTTCGTTCTCTCAGTTCTTAGACAACACCCCTACCACGAGAAGGTAGTGAGTATGGCTTCCCTGACAGTGGCTGTATATGCTAGAGCATTTCGAGAGGGAGAGCCGACTCTCCACACCCTGGGCCGTACAAGGGTATCTGGGTTCAAATAAATAAACTTGGGTCTAAATATTTATCTTGACTTGCTCTAAAATTTCTTTATCGAATCTTCAGTTGTTTTAATGTTACATAAAAGTTTTTATCAAATATTCAGATGTCAATCATTAAGACGTTTTCCTTATATCAACAGTCCATGAAATTAATATTATACCTCAGAATATAGCTCATTATCCCCCGAGATTTAGATACATTAGTGATCGTATAGTAACCACTACAGTACACTTGGTTGTCGATTAAAATGACGATTTCGTGTGAACACTATGAATCAAATGTTACATTCACATTTATTTATTTATTTTCATTAAGTCTATTATTGTGACTTCCTCCATCTGTACCATTGTAAATTGTGACAATTTATACCGGTATACTTTTTGTGAAGCCTTTATCGTATAACCTTTTAGTAGTCATGTACAGGACTGGAAATTATGAAGCGCTTGTTATGAAGCAGTCGGTCATACATTTTCAACAAGAAACATTCACCACTCCGTCATTTAACTCTATGGTCGAGCCTATTCTATTAATTAGCATTACTGAGTTGCGGAGTGGATATTATACTTTATTCTATGGTGTAACATGTAATTTCAATTTCATAGATTACTCATTTGACACGATAACATTTACAACTTCAGTCACTGTACAATATAGTTGCATGACGATAATCGAGTTAACATTATCGATGATATCCATTTCACTGAAGCTATATAATAATCAATATTGAATAATACTTTTAGTCGTTGTTATTACTACTATTGTAGTGATGGAGACTTGGTTAGGGATAACCATATTTACAGAGTTCTTTGGCAAATTGTGAAAACCATACTTATAATACTTCAATTGCAAATTTCCCACCAGTTGTGCCTTACATTCTGTATGATTCTTCCAACTCACAATTCGATCTTCTTAGCCTTCTGCTGCCAGACATTCAACTTTTGACTGTTGTTATATACTAGTTATGTCTGTCAACATAAGTAGCACACACCATACTATTACCATTATTTATTAATTTCTGAAAAAATTCCCATATTGTGATTTAGAACAATATTATTTTCGATTAGATCCTCATCAGGCTTTACTGTAATATACAAGAACATTTATATGCATATACGAAGTTATAAAACCAATCAATGATAACGGTGGAATAGATTACATAAATAAACATAATAAGTGAAAAGTACAAATTGGTAGTGTGATGACAGGTGTGATAAGAATAATAAAAGCTTAAATCAATGTTACAATAATAGGAAGTAGGTCGATGATTAGAAAAACATAGACACCGAAATAACATTCATAAAGATTATAAGATTACGTAATAAGAAGTGTTCAGTTAATTGGACCATGAAACTGTATATTTGAGAAAAAAAGAAAATGGTAGGAGGGGGTGAAGAAAAATAAACGAAGAAAGAGTATGGAAAATAATAATAAATAAAATCATTTATTAAGGCCAAGGGAGAGATAAGGGTGTTACAGATTCTTTATGAACACAAAGACTTGGATTGTTGGCTCGAATTCCTATAGCTTCTGCTATGTGCAGGAGACGATGTCGAACTCCATAAGGAAAACTAGTGGGAATACGATAAATAACTTTAAGTGACTTAATACTGTCTACTACATAACCGCTATCGATCAAATGTGATAGAACCGAGCTGCGTATTGCCTTGACAATACCTGTTCCTAACCGCGAAGGGAGGTGTTCACTAAATCTTTGGCTCATTTGTCTGGTAGTGCGCGCCCAATACAGCTTTCTCCAGAGGGGCAGCTGAGTTCGTAGATACACATAGAAATGGCATAACCAGGTAACTTATCCTTTAGTTGAGGAATCACCATAGATCGGGTCGTGTACGATAGACAGTGGTTGGCTGCATTAAACGTTCTCTTCACTGCTCTAGTCAGTCTATATCACATAGTACATCACCAGCTACATCTCCATTGAACTGCAGCTTCAGGAAGGGAAGTTTCTTGCTAGCCGTTGATGTAGCTATTTTCTTTTTTGTTATGCACAAGTGTGTCTTCAGGAAACCTTGTGGATAACCCATTTCACTCAACATATTATGTATGAGCTCTTATTTCTTGTTAACAGTATCGACCGAGCATATCTTTCTAGCTCTATTTGCAAGACATTTGTCAAGGATCCTCTTATAATGAATAGGTACAAAGCCTAAGTAATGTGCGTACTGGCTTGATGAAGAACTTTTCCTATGCACACTTCTACTGATAGAACCGTTTTTCTTTTCTGTTTAACAAAACGTCAAGGAAATGTAGTTTATTATCTAGTTCCTCTTCACACGTAAATTTAATTGCTGTATGTTTGTTGTTAAATAGTACTGAGAGTTCTTCTTTTCCAATTTTCTGGTAGACTATAATGAAAGTATCATCAGCATAACGACAATAGAAGTCAAGCTTATCGATAACCTTTTTGAGAGGTCCGTTCTCTAGTTTCGCGAGAAAAAAATCAGCAAGGATAAGACCTGGAGGTGAACCCATCTCTATATCATCAATTTGTCTATAATATGTGTTATTAAAGACAAATAGTCATTCATTGTACATTTCACAAGTAATTCTTTGAGACTAACCTCGAGGATTTCAATATTGATCCGTTTTTCAAGTAGTTGTTGACACACAAAGTCAATAATCTCAGTTAATAGTACATTGGTGAACAGGGAAAGCAATATCTAAAGATATCATCCGTTTCCCATTTAAGTTCATATATTCAACTTTAGAAATGAAATTGAAAACGTCTTTCACACTTCTTTTGACGACTAGGATTCGAATTAGCCACTTTGCAGTTTTATAGTAAGGCGAATTATACATATCTAAAACTGGACGAAGAGGAAGTCCTGTCTTGTAAACTTTGGGTAAACCATAGAGTTGTGATGTGTTCAATCCAGTGGGTTTAAGTTAATCGTGTATAGTTAGAATAAGTATTCCTTTACTTTGATTAGTCAACAATTTCTCTGCTTTCATATTTATGTCTTTAACGTCGTTGAGTTTTTGAAATTTAGTTCGTATATTAGAGTAAATAAAGAGGGGATTACTATGTGAACATCATCCAATGCTATGCGCCTACCAACGATTACAGTGAAGACTCTAAAGATCAGTTCTACGATAGGCTGCAGTCAATCATCGAGAAGTGCCCAACAAAGGACCTTACCTTTCTGATGGGGGATTTCAATGCATTCACAAAACCACATAGACTTCACCGGATCACACCACGAAGAACCGAATCGACCATACCTACATCAACAAAAAGTTCAGGAGGACAATGGAGGATGTGAGAACCAAGAGAGGATCTGGCATAGCATTGGATCATCACTTGCTGGTCACCAAGATGAAATTAAAACTTAATAAGCACTGGATAATGGGGCGGACAACATCACAAAAGTTCAGTACGGCTTTTCTTCAGGATACTAACAAACTCAACGAATTCATGATAGTCCTCAGCAATAAGTTTCAGGCCTCTCATGATCTACCCAATGGAGAAGGAACTAATATGGAGAGCAACTGGAAAGGGATAAAAGAGGCAATCAATTCAACATGTCATGAGGTTCTGGGCCACAAGAAGCACCATCACAAGGAATGGATCATTGTTGATATACTGGATAAGATTCAAGAAGGAGGAAAAGACAGCAGCAATCAGTTCGAGCCGAACAAGAGCAGAGAAAGTTAAGGCACAATCTGAATACACAGAATTAAACAAACAGGTGACGAGGATCATCAGAAATGACAAACGTAAATATGTGGAAAATTTAGCGATGACGGTGGAAAAGATTTTAAGAGAAAACATTAGAGTTGTATGACACAACAAATAAACTCGCTGGAAATTATCGCAAACCCGAATGACCAGTGAAAAGCAAGGAAGGCAAGGTAATCACCAACATTGAAGAACAACGAAACGGGTGGGTCGAACACTTAAAAGAACTTTTGAATCAACCAGCCCCACTGAACCTACCCAACATCGAAGCAGCACCCACGGACTTCCCAATCCATGTTGGCCCAATAACAATTGAAGAAATCAGCATGATCATCAGACAAATCAAGAGTGGCAAAGCAGCAGGACCAGACAACATCCCAGCAGAGGCACTGCGTGCAAATGTAGCAGTAAATGCAAGAATACTCCACATTCTATTCAATAAGATTTGGGATGAGGAACAAGTACCAAAAGACTGGAAAGAACGACTTCTGATCAAAATACCAAAGAAAGGCGATCTCAGCAAGTGTGATAACTACAGGGGCATCACTTTTCTCTCAATACCGGGAAAAGTCTTCAACAGGGAGTTGTTAAACAGAGCGACGAATTCCGTAGACGCTCAACTTCAAGACCAACAGACTGGATTCTGTAAGGATCAATCGTTTACTGACCAAATCGCAACTCTAGGGATCATTATGGAACAATCAACTTAATGAAATTCACCACTTCACATCAGCTTCATTGACGACGAGAAAGCATTTGATAGCATGGACAGGACAACACTAAGGAAGCTTCTTCGACACTGCGGCGTGCCTCAAAAGATAGTCAATATCATACAGAATTCCTGTGATAGATTAAACTTCAAGACTGTGCATGGAGGACAACTGACAGACTCGTTCGAGGTAAAGGCCGGTGTCAGGTAAGGTTGTTTACTCTCACCCTTTCTTTTTCTCCTGGTGATCGACTGGATCATGAAGATGTCAGCATCTGAAGGTCAGCACGGAATACAGTGAGCCCGCCCTTTTATATACGCGGACTATTTCCATAATCCTTAGGGAAGTTTTTCTATTAGAAAGTTTTGTTTTACTTATCCAGTCGTTGCATGCGTTTACGTTCTTAAAATAAGTAGATATGTACGCTTCCAAACCTATGGAAATTAACATGTTCTAATGCACATTCCTGCGTTTAAGATTTTTCTCGCACATTCCATTGTCATTTAACGGGCATTTATCTAGTTTACATGTTACTAAGATCGGTACTAACTCCACTTAACTGTCCGATTGAACGGTTCTTAAAAAATGGAAGCTTATCAAGACATTGAGATGAAGTCAGAAAGAAAGTAGCCGAATTATACTTACCACAAAGATATCGTTTCAAAAAGGGCAGTGATTTTTGTACCTGTTGTGATTATACTTGCTTTGGGTACTTATTGCACTAAAAAGCATTCTTGGTCTACTTGATCTAAAAGTACTTTGGTTAAAGTTTGAAATTCTTTGATAAATTTTGTCCTGAGCACCTGTTTTTACTCCTTGACTAACACTTGTGTTCACATTGTGATAATTTTGTGTTTTTAAACCTTTTAAATCGAATTACAATGGTTGGTAAGACTCATAAATGTGGGCGACCAAATTGTTTGTTCCACGTTGAGGAGGGAATGCAGTGTGACGATTGTAAAAGGTGGTACCACAAGATGTGTACACGACTAAGTCCGACGGTTTACAAAAGATGCTCGAAACCTAACTCTCATTGGCTTTGTATGTTCTGATTTACGGATAAAAAGGTACTAATTCAGGAGGCTATGGGCCTATTGGCTTTGGCCTGCACGAAAAACGATGGCGGAAGCACTGACAACAAGAGCGCTGATGGTGAAGAATGTGTCAGTGTAGTAAGTACTGCTACTAGAAAAGAAGGCCCAGGACAGAGTGGGTTGGAGAATGCTGGTCGCCGGCCTATGCTCCATTAGGAGTAACAGGCCTAATTAAGTAAGTAAGTAAGTAAGTAGTATTAGAGTAAAGCTTGATGAGGACCTAATCGAAAACAATTTTGTTCACTTATTGTTTCACTTAATTTTAACGAATAAATTAATAATCAATATGTCAATTAATTGAAAAATTTTAAGATTCCTTTTTTAATCATTTAAGATGGGTTTTTTCACTTCAATAACAAGTAATCTATTAATTGGTTACATCAATTTTTAAGTTACTTTACATTTAACACTTTAATAATTTAGAACATTCACACTGCTGCACAAATTAATTTTTACTGAAAATTACTTTTAATAACTGGTAATTTGTTGTGTATTCAAATGACACGGTTTTATGTTTTATTGTCAATCATTCAACTAATTTTTATTAAGTTTATTTATAGATTAAAAAAAGCCCAGTTTATTATTATTATTATCTAAAGGGGTTTTGTGGAGGTTTTAGTACTTTCAGTAGTTGGAATCATGAGTCAATTGAAGCTAGACCACCATGGAAAACCTTGAAGCACTGGACGGCCATTTCGTCCTATTGTGGGACTCCTCATCAGTGCGGATCCATAATCTCACTTGCGGGATTCTGACCAACGACCTATCAGTAGGATGAAACAACCGTCCAGTGCTCTCAGGTTTTCGATGGTGGTCTAGCTTCAATTGACTCATGATCTTAACTATTGAAATTGTTATCGAAATAATGTCAATAATTTTGAGGCATTGTTCAGTCTTTTTCACTTTACTCGAAATTTCATTTCGTACTATTTTTTGTTGTTGTTATTACTCTATTTAGTGTCCCGAAGATATCTACGAATGAGGTGGAAGGCATTATTCGACATGTCGATAGCCTTATGAATCCACAAACAACCATGAAAAATGATACAGTTAATACAATCACAACAACACCAACAACGGATACAACGATAAAATCATTGAACACTGTTGATAGTAAAGATGATATTGTTATTGATGATCATCTACTTGGGTGCAAAAATCAATGTTCAAATCTTGTTCTATTTGAGGCAGGTATGTTTTACTTTGTTTGTATTTTTTTTAAATTTGGAAAGGGTTTCGATTGTTGTGTTTGGAATTCATATGTTGCAGTTTTTAAGTTTATTCATAGAAAAGGACGACAATTCAGCAATATTCTTGAATAAAGTCGTAGACTAAGGTAGTAATTTTTTTTACAAGGACGAATACGTTACATTTCTGTTCGTATCTAATTGTTCCATACAGATGATTGAATTTTATCCCTATACCAATTAATTGCTTGACCATTAACAGCTCAGGACCTGACACAAATATGTATTGACACAATTTGCTTCACGTCACACTAGCAGAACAAGAAAATACTGACAGGTTGTGAAAAGAATGAATTGAAGTAATGATGTAACTTATGTACGAAATAAAGTTTTTTTGTACTCGTATCCGAGCAACACATTTACTTGGGTGTGGAAACTGATTTCAACCAAGAAGTTTGGGTTTTCAAACACGGTCTAACTCGGCAGTCATTGACTTCAAGATGTGATATCATGCATTGGTTTGATCCTATGCTGGGTAGCTTTTTGTATCATCTGGGTAGGAGGTATCTGTATGGGAACTACTCATAGAATAGAACTTGAGCTCAAAATAAACAAGCGCCTATTTTATTAAGTTATTTTATTTCCAGCTGTTCCTTTTACTCAAATCTTGTGAATGCTTTTTTAATTAGGTGATTATAACGTGTATTACATATGCCTGACCACTGCTTATAAAAACGAGCAACGTTTACCAGTGTAGGGATTTGTTGAAAAAATTCCAAGTATAACCAATGTAAGATGTGGTATCGGTCCATGAATTCATTGACAATTGGATTAACCCTTGTTGGCAAATGTGGAATTCTTGGTCACTATCCGCCTCATTGCCGTAAAAAATGGTTGACATTGAATGACGTAGCTCAGATGCAATCACTATTTCCCCCTAAATCCTGAATTTTAGAATTATCTTATGCATTTTATTCCTCGAATTCATTCATTGTTCTCGAGTCAGGTCGTCTAAACTTTGTCTCCTTTACTATACTATAGCTGCTTCTATTGCTCTGATATTCATCTCACTATTGCAACTTGGATCGATGCATTTTTGTCTCTGGCTCTAAGTTGATTATAACTGACTTCTCAAGTCAATCGTATTTCCCTAAAATTCATTCTAAATATGACTGACTGACCTAGAAGTTGCTAGTTAAATCCCTATTGCTTTCATAAATATTTTAGTCTTTCGTGACAAGTGTAATGTTCTATGACCTATTAAACTTTCTCTTGCTAACTTATGATTGCTAGTATGGGTAGCAGAGACTGTTGGACCTCACTGAAATCACAAACCGATCTAAGTTAGATAACCATTGAAAGCGTGGAAGCACTGGATGGTATAGTACTCATCAGTGTGAATCATGTTATCACTAGTGACCAGCTTCAAAATGAAATTTCTTGCGTTCTTATGAGAAGTTGTGACCATTAGGATTCAGCCGTGTTGGGTGTGGGGAAGACACATACCGAAGTGAAAGGAAAATGGTCGCACAATATCGGGAATTGATTGAAGCTAAACTTTGTGCACTAATGGACCCCGCGTCAGTGGTATAGAGGTTAAGACTTCGTGAGCGAGATCTAAGGTTTCTATTCCCGGTTTTAGGGTCGTGTATGGGTACTTTTGAGGAGTCCCATACTAGTATGAAACGGCCGTTCAGTAGTTCTAGGTTTTAAACGGTGGTTGGGCTTAAATTAGTTCGTAATTTCAAAGTAACGTGTGATTGTTGTGTTACTAAAACCAAGATTTAATGATTAACTCGATCTAGCAACTTATCTCATAATCACTTAACTGTAAATTCAGTGAAATAAAGTATGTTGGTTAGTAATTTCAGTCAACTTATATTTCATTTTACAAAAACACAAATCATAAATATGTTCAAAAACTATATTAAACTGTGATATTACTGCTATATCGGAAAAACAACCAGATTGCCTGTGTTGTATTGACTGCCGTATGATTGAATCATAATGATAGGAATGAAATTATATGGCCTCTACCTCAAGTATGATTACCGATTAGTGCACCTTTATTGGTAGTAAGACCAGTGATCTCCTCAAAACCAATATACACACCGACCAGTGAACAATAACCAAGACCTTATCAATTATCGGTCCTTAAACTTCTAATCCAGTATTCAGTCATAAAACGAAGACAGAAAGCAGATCAGTTCTCTGGTGTACTCAAATCAATCATGACTAAAAACTCGTGCAGTTATGTACCTAAAGTGTCAGACCACACATCAATGCAATTAACGAATCACAATATGTAAGTAACCTGGTTGTAAGTGATACAAAACCAGTGGTAATGGGGGAATAATTAACTAATAATAAATCAGGAATAATAAGACATGACAATGATATGTGAGTTAAATAAAAGTTTAAAAACAGGATAATGTAATAATAAACAATTCAGGTGTCTAGTAACTATACAATAAAATTATAAACAGTAACTATTCGTGTAATAGTCCTATCAGTCGTACTTTCACACTATTCGCCTCATTAAATCAACTATATGTGGTGTTTTCCAATTCAACGTATTTAGTTTGTTACATTGATATTCATATATAAACGAAATATTTCGTTGTAACTGGTACTATTTACCATTATGTTTGATTTCCATTTATTCTAAGTTGATATAATCGTTTGAGAATAATCATTGAAAACAACTAAGCTCTGTATATATGTATGTCATTTTAAATTCAGTACTATGTATATCGCCAACACTTCACAGTCAACTTTCGATTCCATAACTTTTATATGTCACTGTACGGTGAACATATTTGTCTGTGAAGAAAAAAAATCTTGTACTGTATGTCAATGTTGTAAATTTCACTTATATAATCAGTAGTACTGTAAATGTTTACTATTTCCGAATATTAGCAGTATTTTCATTTTTACTAATCAAGTCATATGATCATAAACACTGTACTTGTGTGTGTGTACCTAAAATATTTTGCTACTACTTATAATTTGCACTTCAATTTCACATGATATTTTGATGCATTCCTTTATCAAATGTATGCACGATTGGAATATTGATATTAAACGGATATCCATTAAAGTTTGTAGATTAGTATGTAACTTAGTTAACATTTAAGCCCTTTCTAACATCGCTTTAGCGTATAGTGAAGAATCACACAGCGTAGTCTTTAATTGCATGTAAAACGGACAAAAGGATATATTGTGCTACCTAATTAAATTTCATTGGAAGGAATAAGCCCATGCTTCAATATGGACCTCGATATCACATGAATTATTACGTCATCTACCAATTCACATGTGTATAGACACACATACATAAAGTGGAGTAATAGGATGATGCAGTCAGGGCTGGTGGAATCGGTGTTGAAATGGCATCAAGATGAGTTAACTTCGTCATATGGTGAATGCAGGGTAGAAAGTCATGATCCTCGATAACAAAAAATATCATTAAAACAATAGAAATCGTTATGTGCCATATATACTTACGTTTGGTGTAAGCTCCTGCCCTTTAGGAAATTTATCTGTTGAGAAACAATTCGTTCTAATCTTAAACCACCTACTCTGATAACGGTTAATCTATTCTCATGCCTGAAGTGGGGTGACAACTTATTCCTTCTGTATTGATATCATTTCTCTCACGTCCAGTCTTATCACTTTTTATTTATAATTGACTATCATTAGTATTTTTTAGTGAGAATGCTTAACTGGTGTTGGTATAATCAAATTATTTGTGAAATGTGTCTTGTGCAAATACATCACATATTTTCAATGAACACTCTTCTCATATTACACTTTCATAATGGATATAATTTTGTTGGTGAACCATCAAAAATCGTAGGACATTGGTTATCTTTTCCATTCTTTCATTTATTTTTATTTGAACATCTAAACATTAGTGCAAAGGGGCATCCAATACATATGTGTCACACAATAACAATGAGGCCAGTAGCAGTTATTATTGATTTGTTTGAGGACTGTGATACTGCCTGGACACTCAAACCGAAGTAGATGTTTTTGTCAGGGATTCACACCTGGAGTCTTTGACCTGAAGGTCTAATCCACAAGGCAGTGGAGCAACGTCAGAAGATGCAGTCCCATGGTAGCCTGTGACCAACGATAGGTTCATACACCTTTTGTTCCCTCAGGATCCTGGAGCCCATGTTCACCATTGGTTTGGAATCAAAATTTTACAACTCCCCTAGGTGGAGTGACATGAAATCTAAAGATCTGAGTTTTGGTGATCTGTAGAATTTCGGTTGCTCACTTATCTAAAAAGTCTGTAACGAAAGTGAAGTAGATTTGGATTCTTGTGGCCACATTATCTTCTTTAAATTTTTCGAAATACTTGGTTGATGAGAATTCACAATTATGTAATCTAGATCAGATCAACTCTGAGTTGTCGAATCATTTATATAACTATTCATATGATCTGTTGAATTGCATAGACTGACGACAAAACAATATGCAACATTAAACTTCGTTTTCGAATGTCAACTATTGAAAGCCATTAAGTATTGTACAATTTTTTATCTGATTTGATAATACTCAACATTGTATAAAGTTACATCTCTCCAGGAATCAAACTTATGATTTCTCAGTGAATAATGTTTAAAGAAATGTATTAATTTTCTTTTTCTCTTGTAATTCTCGATTTCCACGATTATTTTGCACAGCTTATTCCACTATCATCATGACCGTTTTCTTTTCCGTCATAATCTAGGTTAACCAAATATCTCTTGTTGAGAGGTTTTCACTATTTTATAGGGATATCGATTTTATCTTTTCTTATGCAAACACCTATTTTGTGACAATCTAGGATTACATTTTCTTTGCAGAATTGTCATCAGTGGTTAAGTAATTAAACCAAACGAATCTTCAATGATTTAGCTACAAATTTACATCACGCTCCCACCGTTTCGATGTAGGGGCTCATGTAGTATCGCTTTAATTCAGGACTAAATTGTGACTGAATGGAATAATGGCTCGGTGATTTAAACACAAACTGTTTGGTCGTAGTTTCGAACTTATATCCAACTACCTCCTACCTTGGTGTGGAATGTTTACTATAATGTGATTAATTTGGAATAAGGCTACGGAGGCGACCATACCAAGAAGTGGGAATCAGCCCTTGAAGCGTATTAGTCTATTTGGTTGTGTTCCATGCGATAAACTTAGTCCATTAGAGACGTATGATATGGCTTAGTATCAGTCACGATGAGAAAATTTGGTTCACTCCTTAATGTTCCCTTAGATCCTGAGTTTTACTATCCCTTCATTTATACTTTTTAATTTCATCCTCTAAAATCATGTTTTCCAGCGTTGAATCTTTCTCAGTATCAGTGCTACTATCAATATTTATACTCTTTTGCTATTCATCTCGTTAATTATATCTCCCCGTATTAATCTGGTGTGGTAAGTTGAGTTAACGTATTTATGCGTGACTGTACATTGATTACTACAGATCAACAATTAAAGTTCAAACGCCACTTCGCCTAACTTTCACACTGAATGTATGCAACTTAGCTTCATAGTGCACAGAACTATTTTTTTAATAAGACTTTCTAAAGCTTTTTATAATTCTAGAAATTATAATCAATATAAGCAGAGATGGATGGTAGCTAGCAGTGGAACTCAGGACGCGCATTTCATCCTATTTAGGACTTGTCAGCTGGATGTACTGGCATCCCAGTGTTGATGTTCACTCTATGAGACTGATCAATTGCAGTCCTAAGCATCAATGGGAACATTCGAGCAAACAATACCAAACGAATTTAAACTTTATCCCATTGCACAAGCAAGTGGCTATCAGGACTTAGTAGCTAAGTGGATAATACGATGGCGTTTGGAGTGAACGTTACTGTGTACGAGTCCTGGAGTGAACATCAAATCTGGGATGCCAGTAAATCCCGCTTACGAGTCCTAAATAGAATGAAATGCGCATCATGAGTTCCACTGTTAGCCACTAACCATCTTTGGTTATAATGCCTGTGACTTAAGGTAATATCGAGGTAATCCGCACAGAACGCATACATGCCAATGAGAGACTGATCAATTGCAGTTTTAAACATCAATGGAAAGATTCAAGCAAAGAAAACCAAGTGAATTTAATTATAATCAGTGTTTGTTTTTTTTTTCAAAAAAGAAACAATAATTTAATTCTTTCATTTATTTTTCATCTCTTCAACACAAAGGCTTAATTGATTCAATAACTAGTAGTGAAATTATGGAAACTTCATCTGAATATAATCCAAGTGATCGATTACATTCTTCATCTACACGAGAATATTATCACTTAACATCAGAAGAAGATTTAGGAAATAGTGATGAGGAAGATGTGGATGATGATGACGAGAAAAATAATGATAGTGACAATAAAACATCTGGACTACGACAACAAAAACAACAAGAACATGAAACAACCATTTGAACAAAATAGTGTCAGTCCACCATGAGTAGAGACAATATACAAGCCTATTACTACTAATCCAACCACTATTAATAGTAGTAGGAACAGTAGTAGTTGTTGTTCTGTGACTGATACAAAAGAAGAAATTAATAATAATATTTCACTTTTATTTTTATACTCAACTTTCTCTATATCCTGGTGATAAACAATCAAACAACTATTGAGCTCTGGTTTTATTCTTTCTACACTCATCCTAATTCAAATGATTCATTGTGTTTAATCTTTATATTTGAATTTATAAATTGTGTCTACAAATTGTCTTCTATGTACATAATTTTAATTCATGTGAAAATTCTGATAATTTGTTTTATTGAAACGTTTCAGTTTCTCTTTATTTCTTTCATAGAATCCTCCATTTTTTAAAATGTTTAGTGATTTATTTATTTATTTATTTATCCATGAGAAAAACAGTACAGATTTTATGTTTGTTCCTTTTTTTTATCAACTAAACCAAAAACAAAACTGGTTTTAATATTCGTTACTTTTCAAGATGTTATAGGTTGTTTGTTTTTACAAGAAAGAAGAAAAAAGAAGCAAATTCAAATCGTTCAATGTCATTCTATATGTAATTATCATTAGTACTGCTTATCTTTATCTTATTGAGTTGTTCTTTTCAATACTAAATTGTTTGAATACAGTAGGGAAATTTTCTGTACAAATTTTAAAGTATCAGAACGTGTTTCTGCGCTACACTTTAAATGGCAAACTACCTCGATAACAAAGTCGTATTCAAAGAATGTTTCCAATACAGTAGGAACTAACAACTGTTTATCTTTACTATTGATTTATTTATTTTAACACATAGATATTGGTACAATGAGGCACCAAATACATATGCGCCACACAAATATCATTTGATTTGTGTGACGGCTGTGATACTGCACGGGTGCCCAAACCGAACCAGGTGGTTTACTTAGGGGCCACACGCGGAGCCTTCGACCTGAAGGTCTGATCCACAAGACAGTGTAGCATCGTAAGAAGATGCAATCCCATGATAGCCGGTGACCAACAATTGGTTCATACGCCATTTGTCCCTGCAGGATACTGGAACCCATGTGCACCATTGGTTTGGAATCCGGTTAAAGCGCCGGACATTCGCTTTTCGTCCTCTCATTTTCGTAAACAACACCCCCTCCACGAGAAGGCAGTGAGTAGGACTTCCCTGGCAGAGGCTATATACGCGTGGCCGTGTTGGAGCATTTGGAGAGGGAGAGCGGACTCTTCCCACTCTCGGCCGTACCAGGGCATTTGGGGGCATCTTTATTAACATAAGGGTGTGTATTATATTTTGAAGTTATGTTTGATTACAAACATTAACTGAAAAACAATATGAGGTTAGGTTGGCATTGTTTTATTTACTGTTTAGTATTTGACACGTATAACCATTCAGCACGGTTGTAAACTAAGTTAAAATTACTCTCTAATAAGCAGCATTTACTAAAGGAATAAAAAAAATGAACAGAAGTGTTTTATACGGCTTACCTAGTGAACATTCGAAATATTGTGGATTAGTTCAACATACTACGTATATATTACTACTTAAAAATTAAAAAAATAGTTATTTAGTTCACTTTCGTAAAGTTACAGATTGTTGTTTAAACGTGGAAACAACTTAGTGTTTAAAAAAACTATACTTCTATTGATCCGATACCTGATGATTCATATTTTATATTTTTGTTCGCAAACATTTAGCAATTGTAATGATTAAAAAGATGTGATCTTGACAAGTTTGCAGAGAGTTAAAGTGTTATTCATAATGAATTCCCACGTATCTGATTAAACGACATGTGATTTAGCAACTTCTGTTTACGTTTGTATTTCATGAAACGAAGCAGTCATTTAGAAATATCTGATTATGAATTATGAAGTTTTGAGAGATATCTTATCACTGAAAAGCATCGTTTTCAGAACTAGTGAAAGTTAGTAGACACTAAGTAATTGTCGTTTCAATAGGTATCAGCCTCGACTCCATTAGAAAAGAACCAATGACCTCCAGGTCTCTTAGAGACCACGATCTTTCAAAGCCTTTAGCTAGGAATCCAAAAGTTGCTGTATACCATAGAAGAATTGCAGCTAAAATCATAGTTAATTAAAGTCTCATTCAGCAAATCAAGGATATCCTGAACGTCACTAGACTGGGAGACCATGTGGTCTATCCTATGTTGATGTCCTGGTTAGACATTAGTCAGGAGTTCCATACTAGGATAAAAAAGTTGGAAGTATCTTGATCACTTGAATATTTCCTAACTAATAAATAAAATAATCCAGTGTTATTGAATAAGAAGAAAAGAATTCAGCGAAGATAATTTTCTTTTTGACGAAATCATTTACTTAAGCTGTACATTCGTGTATATAGTTGTATGGAAAATATATGTCTATAGGAGGATAGTAAAAATTGCATCACGAAAACGGATTCGAAGATAAATAACAAATGAGGTTATGTACTAAACGATTTTCTTCCTTAACCCTTGATTAGTACGTAACCTCATTTATTATTTATCCTCGAATCCATTTTTGTGATGCGATTTTTTCTATCCTCCTATAGACATTTTCCATATAACTATATATACGAATGTAGAGCTTAAGTAAATGATTTCGTCGAAAAGAAAATTTTTTTCGCTGATTTCCTAATTTGTATTGTGGTGAGTGTTATTTATGCTGACTGATAAACGTAGTATGTAGCAGCAATCAGAAGCGGAATGCCTGCTTGCAGAAGATCTAAATAAAATGAACAGGAAGCAAATCGGAGAGCAATCAAAATAACAACAGAATTAGGGGAATAATGGAGTATGTAAAGCACAAAGCAAAGAGATTTTTCAAATGATGTATTTAATATATGATTTTCATATTTCAATTTAGTATGTTATATGAAACTGGTTTTCTGCAATCTGAGTTTTCCTTCACTACAATGACAGTTCACTCCCAAAACTACCGCAAACATTAAATAAGTCTTCATAAAATACCTAACGAAAATGTTATCTTCCTTTCAATTTTATAGATTTTTAATTTATTTGATGAGGAATATAAACTGAAAAAGTTTAAATTCATATGCATCATTTATGGTAATGATAGTTGTGTTTCACGTGTTCGAACAAATGGTGTTTTATTAGGTTATTTAAAAGTATTTGGATGTTCAATTTAGTTTATCGTCAAATAATATGATGTTGAATATGAAAAAAGTCATCTTCACGATCAAGTGTTCATTTGTTTTTTTCGTCAACTGAATTACACTTGTCACTGATAAAAATAGCAAATTTTAGAGTCAATACAATTATTTGAAATGTCTCCTTTACGTTTAATTTGCATCGAATTATTCGAGAAAATGCTATAATCAGACCAACTAAATTATGATTATAATAGTTGAGTTCATAAGTCAATTGAAGTTAGACCAACTTGGTAAACCTAGAAGCACTGGACGGCCGTCCATGATGGTCTAGCTTCAATTGACTCATGAATTCAACTATTAAAATTACTAAAATCTCCACAAATCCCCCTTCTGATAATAAATTATGATTAGTTGGTAGAATTATCATTTGATCAAATCAAACCGATCGCTTTTGGACCAACATGGAGTAATGGATGATATGAAAGCGACTGTTAATATTTTTTTCTATTTGTATCTATGACCCACAAATTCTTTATTAGTGAGCTGGTAGTTTTGACAATATATCCTGAGTCATTTAAATTGTTTGCTTTCTGTCACACAAAACAGTATCATATCAGAAAACTAATCACTTAACAAATATTCTCAAGATTAGATGAAACTGATATAATCTAACAACTCTAATATCTTGCACAACGATATGTCGTGTACACCATTAACTATCATGAACGAAGAAGTTGTAAACTGATCACGAGAAAATAGTGTATATAGAGGATCAAAAATACAAATACCAAAATATAGTTGCAAACTTATTGAAAAACTTATAAGTATGTAAAACCAGTTATTGATATATAAAAATAAATACACGGGTATAATCCGGACATTACTTGTTAACTAGGGAGTGTGTTCACTTGATCCATGATCAAAGCACATAATTAGTAATCCCAAAATATAGTATTTAATTCAAGTTTTTATACCACATATAATCCAGTAATGAAAAATGTGTAATCTGTAGACATGGATGACAATCATATTAGTGATCTGTTCATATTGAAGCTAACTGAATAAGAACAAAAAATGATGTGAGCAGCGGTGTATTTTGAGAACAACAAGATACAGAATAAAAGTTTGTTCATAAATGAAATAACCCACTTTTCGTTTCAGTGACAGTGAATGCTTTACCTCAAGGCGGTCATTACATATTTGAAGTGCATCAGGTCGGGGATGTGTTTGTTAGCTAGCTTAATTTGGTAGTATGTGCCCCTTTAAGAGTCCTGTATACTTTAAGAAACACCAAATGACAAACAACCACGTGTATCGTGCGTTTTTGTTTTGAAATGTTTAATTACCGACCTATGGCTAGCATTAACTGAGTTCGTATAATTCATCTTTTTGTAACTTCCCTGATTTACTCTCCATTTATTCAATAGTAATACTGCGTCAGACATTTCTGAGAGTATTTCAAAAGACTTAACCGATACTTTTCGCCAGACAACCCTATCTCAAAGGTTCTTGACATAGGATAAATTCGAAAATGCTTTAAAAGCTTTTCAACGTGTAAGAAAAGCATAATTATGAGAAGTTAAGATAACATGTACTCACTGCGTCTACGTAAAAAGTAAAGAGATCCCTATTGGGCGGCGTAAACACGCATTTCTTTCCCCTAAGTGAACGTTGATTGTAAAAAGAAAATCCAAGGAATTGGTACCATTATTAAACTGTATGGTTCTCAAATTAAGTGTAACAGCAGGTCTACGTTTTATAGCTGTTAGTTCATGGTTCAACTGGCCTTACGTAGTGGAGAGTCTTTTAAGGTGGTTCAAAACCATCCGCGTATAGGAAGCTATATGGTATATGATCTATGTTATATATTATCCTACGACCTCATGGTGTGAACTGCAAAAGTTAAAGGTCAAACTTAAACAATAATTGATTGTCAGTATCACTCATTGCACAAATTAAATGAAATTATGAATTGTGAATAATAACAAGAATTATTTACAAGATAAGTCTATCTTAACCATCTTTAAGGATAAAGTATATGAGAGCTAGATTACTGAAGTGACTGTCAAAATGTTTGAAGAAGCAAGACATGTACATGGTAAGTTACTGAGCGTGAAGTAGACGCTTGACTACTTAACTGCACTTAGTTAACTTCATCAAAAATAGTGAGATCAAGTTGAAGTGTTTAACACTAATTGAGCTATTAATTTCCTGCAAAAATAGGATATATGACAAAAAGATAAATTTGAAATATGCATATCATTACGTACTCTACGAAAATAGGAGTAAGTCGGATAGCAAAATAAAATAATGACATAAAGTAAGTAGTTTTTATAAGCAAAGATGGATAGTGGCTAGCAGTGGGATCCAGGACGCGCGTTTCGTCCTATTTGGGGTTCGTCAGCTGGACGTACCTGCATCTCAGAGTTGATGTCTGCCCTGGGACTCGAACTCAGCACCATTCGTTCCTAATGCCATCGCGTTATCCACTCAGCTACTGAGTCCTGATAGCCACTTGCTTGTGAGATGGGGTGAATTTAAATTCACTTGGTATTGTTTTGCTTGTATCTTCCCAATGAGGTTTAAGACTGCAATTGGTCAGTATGTTATTGGTATATGTGCATCATGTGATTATGCC